AGATTATACAGGTGATTTCGCTGGATATCAACCTGTTCACGCCACTAGTCATTAGTATATCTAATGAGTAATCAGCACTGTAGCTTATAGAATTATGTAATATTCTGATTGCTAAAATTTAAATAAATAAATAAGAAATAAATAAAAATACATAAATAATTTTGCCGTTCGTTAGTAGACACAAGTGAAGACGACACCACACGCTACTAGAAGGAACAACGCAAAAAAATGGGCAAAATTACAGATTACAGACTAATACAACAACGGGCTTACGAATAGAAAAACAGGATGCCGCATTAAACATCTGAAGTAAAGGATACAGATCTAAACAAGTGGACACGCCCCTTATGATCTGTAATAAGAATTTTACAAAATGTAAAGAAAATTTTAATAAATTTTATTTATTTAAATTAAGTCAACTACAGCGTGTGCTATTTTAGCGCATACCAATTGACAACGAGTATGACGTTTTAAACCATGAAGCGTGCAGTCGCATGCGCGACGAATGGACAATGTTACTGCAGTGTGGCAGTTTCAGCATAGCAAGACACCTGAAGATGGCCATTTAGGGCCGAAACGTGTTGTGTCGAAAGAAGGAAAAATTTGTTGCATTGTTGACGGACCGTGTAATACAATAAGTAGTATTAGCTATGCTTATGAATCGTAGTTCCATACCTATTGACGCATACATATCCCAGGGCGGTTAGTAAACACTGATCAGAAATTACGGTCCTTAGGTTTTCGGAGCCGTAATGTAGTTTGTGTGAACGGAGAAGTTCATGGAAGTAGGCCTAGGCCCACTGGGGCTGTAGTACCAAGGAAAAAAATGTAGTTTGTAATTTTGACTTTCGGGACTTAGCCATGTCGTGTGTTGGAGGTGTACCACCATTTTGTCATATATTGCAGTCTCCTCTTTGGGTGAAAGTGGCTTACGGAACAACATCAGCGCACGAGACGGCTGAACTCCCAAAGTTGAAAGTGTTCACTGAATTGCAGCGAAATCAAATTTTATATGAAAATTACAGTTAAGAATCCAAAGAGTGAAATTAAACATACGATTATTTCGTCAAGTTTTTCGTACATTAACGTTCCTATTAATATGGAATATTACATTTGTATTTTGTTTCGCAGTTTGTAGGGAATAATGTCACTATTTAGGGAGTTATTGCGTGACTTATAGACGGGGTTTGGTTTGAACGATTGGATTTATTGACACCTTGTGCACATCACTCGAAACTATAGTCAATTACAGCGCTGTCGCTATCCTACAGACTTTCAGTTCTCCGTTAAACATGCACCAGTTTTCTCAGTCTTCACTAGTCGTATCCTGGCAACGGATTTATGACACTCTCACTGTCATTTCAAATCACGCAGGAAGTCTTCTTTTCACAGCCTAACTCTTTTCTTGCCACTATTCTGCAACTGCCAATTCCGAAGACTCGACTCAATTCAATTCCTCTGCACCCAAAGACATGTTCTCGCAGGATGGCGTCTCAAAACTCGACTTTTCCCTTCTCAACTGAACTCTTCTTTATAACCATTTTGCACGAATCCCGCAGAAAGCATAGCCTCTCTGTTGTTGTGAAGTCGTGTTTACAGCGCCGTTCATAGCAACAGAATTTACTCGATTGTTGCTTGCGTATTCGTTGCTGCGGGGATGTGTTTACTTAGTCGTTGCCTAGCAGTGTACATCTAATTCGACTTCGCTGTTCCCGCATTCAGGCATCGTCTCACAATAATATAAATTTCCCTTTTGCATCAAGATATTTTCTGAGCACTTTAGAGAGTTTTTGGCTTGAAGGAACGATGTTTGAATATAAGGCGGCCCATACACGTACAAGTCCGGCTCGGCGAGGAGCCGAGTTCGGATTAATTTCACCACACTCATATGAGCGTGGCGACCCACACACGGATGAGTTTGGCTCATTGGAACCCGAGCCGAGTCGGACTCCCGAGCCAGACTTGTACGTGTATGGACCCCCTAAGAGGTATTACATGAGGAAAACTTAGTATACGTTAACACTGAGGAGCTCCGAGTTCCATCCAGATGATGTAGTACTATGGGAAAAATGAAATCAAGGTGACAGAGACAGCTTATATGGGGAAATGTGACATTTTGGAGAGGAAGACGCGGAAGGAATGGGCAGATAATTTGAGAAGGATTTTTGAAAGATGAGTGCAGAATGGAGAAAATGTGTGTAACTGGCTTAGGATGCCCGGCACCACCCTGCACTGCCAGCGTTATTGAACCTCTAGGAGAGTTAGTGGCATAGACTTAATTGTTTCCTGTTATTGCTGTGTTATGTTATAGGCCAAAATATGTCCACTTATTGCTGGGTTGTGTGTTTCTGTTGCCACATTCTCTCCTATAGAATTGTGGAAATTCCATCGGCTATTCTGACTTGTCAGATAAATTAGTGCTCTGTGTTTGTGAATGTGTATGCGATATATTGCTATGCCATTCATCGGGGTTTCTGGAAATTCGGCTTTGTATTATTAAGCTTCGTACATTTTTCTCTATGCTTCTGATTCATTATCAAGCGGAAGGTTTCTGCTTGCACCGTCACATTTTGTGCACGATAAATCAATCTTTAACATCATTTTCGTGTCCACATTTTCCTCTAAGCTTCTGATTCGTTCATTACTGAGGGAAGGTTTGTGCTCACAACCTTAATGTTTGGTATACGCCAAACCAACCTCCATGTCGTGATGTGCGGGTCATATTATTCAGCTTGCAGTTCTTAATTAGTAGGAATAACGTCGATGTTTGCAATTAAAAATCCCTAATTCCTCTGAATGTTTTTTTATGCTCTTGAACTATCTTCCTTCACTAAGCTGATAGCACAAATTATGCGCATTTTAAAATGATGCCCCTTTTTGGAAATGTCAGAGTGTAATAGCTAAGAACACTGACCTTTCACCGCATCACTCGCCTTGCATGTGACGGACATAGCAGCATTGCGTCAAGTTTCCTTCGAGTTTCTAAAGACGTGCTGAAGTACTGAGACCTTTAGTTGTGGACCCTAAAAAATTAGCGAACAATTTAAAATCAGAACTTAAAATTAGTGTGAATGTTGGTTTCTACATTTTTCACCAAAGAAGGATACGAGTATAAGGCTGATCACAGAGGCCCCGCGGTGTAAGGCATGAAGCGTCTTCGCTCGCTCGAAAGTTGGGATCGTGGGTTAGAATCCTACTCAAGACATTGTTGTCTCTGTGTGTTTCTTCTCTGTTAATGTTGTTGCGTGTGTAGATAGCTACCTTGCGATGGGCTGAGGCCCCGTCCAAGGGGCCCTACCGACTGTGTATAGGAATAAGAAACTGAAAAAGCGGCCAGGGTTCAACAAATGGACTGTAGAGCCATAGATAGGTAGGTGGGTGGGTGTGTAGGTGGGTATAGATAGATAGATTGATATATAGACAGACAGATATAAGACTCGTGTTACGAAACCGGCGAAATAAAAAAAAAAAGGTTAGATTTAGTGGGAGTACAGGAGGTCAGATGGGACAGAGGGGGCACCGAATAAGCAGGCGAATATATTCTACGTTAAATTCTACATTAACAAAAGAAAAGTTTGGGAAAGCGTAGTTTCAAATATATAGAACACTGTTGGAAATGACCATCTTAACAGCGTTCGTGCTTCAAATACTGGTCGTTTCTCTCTCTAAAAAATCGTCTCTGTGCTTAAGTATTATCCGTTGAGGACATGATCGGGAAGGCTTGGAGGTACAATTCACGCTTTCCTTGTTGGTTCTAAAGCTGGTGTCGTCGCATTGCCGGAAAAAAAAATGCTCGCCTCTTGTCGGCAATCGAACGCCGGTTGTCCAGCACTGGGTCACTTGACCGACTCAGCTCTCCTGACTTACTTTGTCATGTTCCATACTGTTTAAAACGAGAGATAATTGTGATAATTATTTCACGTCTTTTTATGTATTTCCTTGATTTTCCTTTTTGGCCCATGATGCGTATAATTACTATGTCCAGGTTTTCCTTAAAGAGCACCTCTTAACTAGCCCCCTGCCCCCTTTCTGCAGATGACTTACAAACTGTTTGGTTTATTTGCAGGTTGAAACATCCGAACATTGTCCAGCTCTTGGAAACCTTTGAAGATAAGCATAAGGTGTATCTGATTATGGAGCTGTAAGTATGATTTCAGTTTGTATCACAAGATTCTATAGGCAGCAACTGTTATTTTCAGACGAGTGATCGCTAGAAGTTTAAAACCCATTAATCTTAAAACAGAATATATCCTTGAGGAAATGCATGTAAATACTCGTATAAACGCAAATGATGATTTAAGAAAAAAGTTCTTCGACCTCACACAGTATTAATGACAGACCATATAAAGAAGTGGTCATAGTTAATGGCTTTAATACAAGTATATAGATTTCGGAAGGCGACCAACCTTCTTCGTAACAAGCGGAGATTGCTATGAACGCAATCATAATATTTTTTCTAAGCATTTCATAACCCCATGTTAATTATGCGATATAACTTCATAAGTCCTCATTATTCATCATTGTCTGACGTCTTCATCAATATTTGCAAGTCTGTATGGGAGGTTTTAGTGGATAGCCGGATAAATGTTGATGCTTGTTTGGTTGTCGAAATAAAAGAAAACTATGTAAGATTTGAGGTTTCCACGGCAGTAAAAATGAAGAATAGTGTCTTCTGGGATGTGGCGCCATATAAATCTTGTGTGAACAGACGTTTCGGAGGAACGTTCGCCTCCATCTTCAGGGTACAAAAATCAGCGAGCGAGGAACCAGCGTGGGCAGGTGACTGCAGTCCGCAAGAGCCAAGTACTTCAACGCGACAGCCAAGTGGGAACCCAGCTTCAGTTAATCTGGCGTTGCTTAAGCCTTTTGAAAATTTCGATTCTGCTCGTAAAAAGTAATCCTTCAAATACTATCTGCAACGATTTAAAAACTTTCTTGAAATGAAGAAAATAACATCAAACAGGCAATGGTGTGTACAGACGTTCCTTAATTCAGTGATGGCGGCGTTAGTGTCCCCAAGGGCTCCAGCTGAGTTAACGTATGATGAACTAACGAATACTTTTGAGTGCACCTCTCCCCAAAGAAAAAATATTCTGGTCTCTCAACATCATTTTCTTTCAACTTACCAGGCAGAAACTCAATCGCAGACTACTTTGCGACTCTCCGACGTGAGTGTATTGACCATGAACCTGTGTCACCTTGCGAGTGCCATGTGTCAATCGCAGGCAGATTTTTACATGCACAGTTTGTCCGTGGTATTCGTGATAATTTAGTTCCTGAGCAAATTTTACAGTCGGGGGCTGCACCCACCTGCTCACGCTGGTTCCTCGCTTGCGGAGTTTATACATTGAAAATGGAGGCGATACGTTCCTCCGAAACATCGGTTCACAATCTGCGTCGCATCCCAGAAGACGGAATTCTTCAAAAGAAAACTAGTTAGAGTGTACAGCACATGCATTGACCTTATGGTTTACCTATGGCTGCACACCAATGTAACATTGTAATAAACTGTGCATCTTAATGGGGCATTTCTATAACCATAATGACATCCGCCTAAACGTCTGGAATGCTTCATGGCCCCATAGGGACGTGCAGTTTGCGAATAATTGTTGCAGCTAGTTCACCGCGATATTTGGTTTACGGTGATAATTCACCAAACGTACATGGCGCCATGTGGTGATGATTCCTGCCAGTAATTCATATTAAGTGACTCTGCAAAAGGCTGATCTTTGTAGCTTGTTGCGGGGTGCAAGAAATCTACTTTTTCAGTTTGTGCTAAGGTCAAAACCCGTTCATGATCCACGTAAATCACAAAATATTGTAGACTTTAATATTTTTGTATTTCTGACGTGTGAGCTATTTCACGATACTGCAGTTTTGAATGACATGTGAAGGAACACACAGATTTCATGTTCATGATGAATTTTATGGAGATAAATGGTTATTTTATTATCGCGGTTCGCTCTAAGAGAAGCACGAATTATTCTAGGGCAGAAGAACCGTAAATATGAAAGCTCCCTATTCGACACAGCCCACCCGGTACCGTCCATTTTTCCTCCTTATTGCCTGGTTACTTAAGACAGCTTAATTTTATTAGTCCCCTTCTTAGCCTTTCAGATGACCGCTTTCTTTGAACTTCCTGCACCGAAATCTTGTGTCTCTTATAACCATACTTTTCTCTTCCACCCGCTCCAACTTTGGAGCACAGGGCTGATTTCTCAGTTTCACTCACCATTTTTACAGACGGTAGGACTCCTCTACCTAAACACAGGACAACACAAACACACAATAAACACATACACACATCAAACATCCATGCCTTGTGTGGGATTCGAACCCACGGTCCCGGTTTCCGAGCGAGTGAAGACGATACTTGCCTTAGACCCTCTCGGCTACCGTGACAGGCTATAACCATATACTAGGTTTTAAATTATCACTGAATTTATATTTCATATTTCTACATGTAGCGTTGAAGCTACGACTGACTTGTTTGACATTGACTTTAACATTCCAAACGTCTCGAAATTTTAGTATTATTGTAGGGTTCGAGGTTCTCACATCTGTGGTCATTAAGAATTGTTAACTTCTGGAATATGACGCTCTGAAGTCCATTGACGAACCACATTTTTGGAGGAAAGTGTTGCCTCCGTCTTCAGGGTCGACAAATAAGCCAAGCAAGAAACCAGCATGAAGCAGGTATAAAGCTAGAGAAACGACCAGAAGCTTCAGACTCGAAAGCGGGACCTCCCGATTTCTAAATGTTGGGGACTTCAGTCTTTGTCTAGCCCGTTATAATGCAATCTACACAGTGTGTCCAGGTTCTGTTAGGACTGTGTTCATTAAAAGTACAAGACGTGAATTTCTCTCTTTTTATTCAAAACAGTCTCCTTCTGAATCAATACAGAGCTGGAATCTATTGAAAAGTTTTCGAAAACAGTCACTGTACTCCTTTTGTGGAATCGCATTTAAAACTGCGGTAGATTCCCTTTGGATGTCCTGGATGGTGTCGTGACGGTCTCCTTTCATCGCCAACTTAACTTTTGGGAAGAACCAGAAATCTGCTGGAGCCAAATCTGGCGAATACGGAAGGTGATCAAGGACTGTGATCCCTTTTCTGGCCAAAAAATCGCGCACGATCTTCGATTTGTGGGGTGGTGCATTGTCGTGCAGGAGCGACCAGGAACCTTGCTCTCGATATTCAGGTCGAATTCGAAGAATTCTCGCCCACAAACGATTGAGGACTCTGAGAGAATAATCATAATTCACTGTTTGACCTTCTGGCAGAAATTCCTTGAGAATGATTCCTTTGGGATCGAAGAAAACGGTTAGCAGTGTCTGTACTCGACTCTTTTGCATGCGTACGTTCTTTGGTTTCGGCTTCTTTGGACTCAACCTGAGAGGCTCATATTGAAAACACATTTCCATAGGCCGTGTCTTGGGCTGACAGAGAGTGAGGCATCGTTTATACATAGGAAGCACGTAGCTACATTAACATAGCTTTCTCGATGTCATTGCTTACATAACGTCGAATGCGAGAATTAATGCTAATGTGAAGGACGTGAAATGAAGCTGACGTGACATCTTTTAAAATACCGTTCAAGCATTTGCTTGGCGTGTCTGCGGAAAACCACAAAATTGCATCAATCTCAGTTTCTGAGATGGGAATCTAACCCGAGACCCCGACTATGAAATAGGAACACTGTAATCTGGAAGATGATAGACTGTTTATTCGTGTTGCTATTATAAACAACAAATCTCACATCAGGACAAATTCACTGTTGCACAAATCTTGGGCTAGCATGCGAATCCAACGAAGCTCGACCGACCTCAGTGTCGTATCAGAGCGAAACTAGGAAATATTTTCGCAACACCGTTGGCACGAAATTCAGATACGTGTATTAGCCGCAGAGTTCTGCCGCCTGCTTGGTTTCCAAACCTTTAATCAGATTATAACACACTTCCGCGTTAGTAGTTTCAATTGAGGCGCACCAAGTTTGGTCTGTTATCGATCGCTGTTATTTAGTGAGATATATTTAACGCTGAATCACGTCTAGCGTGCAAGGACAGTAGGCCTACATACGCAGGTGGATGGGCGGACGACGTGTTACGTACTCTGTCCCAAACTCTGCCACTGTATTACGAGTAGTATATACACATCTCTTTCGGGTAAGTGCCGTCTGCTTTGTCGCAGACCAGTCTTCCGGTTCTGTCGATATCAGTGCAACCTGGTATCTTTAGGATGTTAGTATCTTTCCTTTTTTTTAGGCAAGTGGAGAGAGATGTCTTGAAATAGACAACTGGAATAAGCCTACCTTCTTCTTCGTCCTTATTATTTCATCAAAGCAACAACCGAGTAATTTGTTCCGATGCTAAACATTCTTTTCAGTTCAGCGCCATTGAATGACCAACGAATATGTTGTTATGAAATTGTTTATCTCTTATATACACATATATCTATGTGTATATCTATAATCTAATCTTTCAGTTTATTTGTTATACACATATTCGATCAAACTTGGTGTGGCTGAGTAGAACCGAATCCCACAGATTGTGAGATGCTAGCTAATATAGTATTAAGAGCCGAGTCAGCAAGTCTAGGCGACGTTGACTTCCTATACAACAGGTTTAGAGATGCATGTAGCGGTGAGAGCAAAGTCCACCTCACATGAAATTGCAGAACGAAGATGGTTATTTTAAGGAGAGGAAATGATACAGGGAATAATTATCCAATTGTAACTTCTGTTACGATGGGCCTTGGGGGAAACCGTTGTTACTTTCAGGATTGATCAGAAAGGAAGGGAGGGAAACTTCTTTGGTAGTTACCAGTGTAGTAAGATCGAACCGAGACCCATCTTCCAGGGGGGGAGCCGATAACCCTAAGTGGCCTAGACGAGAGCTGGCTGACCACAGGCCTCTACAGTGACGAGCAGAGACATGGTGTCCTCGTATTTTCCAACTTTTGTAAGTAGAGATCTGTTTTGGTCACAGCCAGGCTTGGCAACTTAAATAAGTAAGAGAGGTACTTACAATCCTACCAGATTGAGTTAGATCAGCTATGTTATTCTTTTACCAATGTAAATAAATGTTATTTTATATTCTTTGATTAGAACAGAGAAAGGTATTTTCATTGATTCGGGAAGG